CAGGACAATCAACATTACCTAAATGTCAGTACATCACTTGGGAAAGGGACACACACTCCTATCCCTGCCCATGGCAACTCCTCTCTGCTAGTCCCAGCAGATATCCACTGCAACTTGAGATACTGAAAGCTGCCAATCAAGAGTGAGTCCATAAGTCTAACAAACAGTACCCCCTACCATCAGCCCCCCCCCCCCCCCCCCCAACTCCTTCTGTCTGCAGCATCACAAAAGGAAGACAAGTGAGGGAGGCTGACCCTAGAAATGTGGGAACAGCCAGCTAGTTAGGCTAAATAGGTGGATATACAGCATTAATATATGTCAACTGTGAAGAACCCTGCCCACATAGTGTAGTCCACACTGTGCTTTTATTATACTATATGGGACTTATTCTACTTCAAGCTGATTTCAGGCCCCCCTGCTTATCTGATGGAGTCCAGTGCAGGTGGGCTGGCTGTACATCACTATCAGTAGCCATAGACAGAACTATTGTATCATATAAAAATGTAGAGCAGATGTGGAAAGCCTATGGCCACTGATCAATACAGAGCTCACACCAAACATCATAGAAAATACCACATCCTGCTGCTATGCCTGCACAGCAACAGAGAGACCTATTAAGAAAATCACAAGAAACACAGTTTTGCTGGTATGTATGCATGCATTATTTTTAACTCAGTGTTCATGTTAAAAAATGAAGTTCTGTTTTAACATATCTAGTTGACTATATATGTCAGGAACATATTTTCAAAAAAGACAAATCACAACATGTGACCACTCTTGTATGAATGATCAGCTCATAAACTCTAAGGCAAGGGTGTGTCTGGACATTAAGTTCTCCTATGTACTAATGTACTCCCTTAGATACAAATATATTTTCTTTTGTAAAGGCCCACTATGACATAATTATTTTGCAAAAATCTACAGTTAGAATACTGTAAGTTAATGGAGGCAGTATGCTGGCTGCTTTGTAAGTAAAACTAAAAAAAAATATTTTCCAGTTGACCAGTATACTAAAGAAAGGTGAGATGGCTTAATGTTTCCTGAACTACAAAGAGCCTTCTGATTTCTTTCAACATGCTCTTTCTTCCTACTGTTCTATTACTAAACTTAGCCAAACATTTTGAGAAATTGTCAGAACAGGAGAGTAAAATAAGGAAACGTTTTGAGGCCAACCTCTTTACGCGAAGTCCCAGGTACTGTCCCATGAGTCACTTATGGCAAAATAAGCCCTACTCTGGGGTGCTTATAGATTCCTTACCCTAGCCCTGTGTAGACTGTAAATAAAACTATTCAAGGCTAAGGATTTCAGTACAGGACTGACTTGTGTGAATATCATTATAGTGGCACATACTACAAGGAGCATGTACAGTATGTGTCCCAGTGGACATTCTGGAGATAAAGACCTTATAAGGTGCTTTTAACTGAGGTAGGCAGGATATGCAATCTATCACAAAGCTTAGTCCATGACATAGATACCACCAATGAAAACAGCCATTCTATGACCCCTTACTTATTCATTTTAACTAAGTCAAATAGTCTCAGTTTGGTTTGTGAATCATAGAATGGTTGCTTCCATCAGAGACTTTTCTTCCTGACAAGTTCGTTTTAAGGGTCCATTCACATCAGCCAGTGCTTTATAATGTAGTGGCTGGTGTGCGGTGTGGTGTGGTCCGACAGGTTTCAAACTTTTTGTCATAAAGATCAATGGGCCGTCGCGCAGTACATGCATTACTATTTTTCAGTGCACCATGCCCGCACACCACTGCAATGCAGTGGTGTGAATCAGACACACAGGAGAGAAAGCATTTGCCGTGCAGTGGGACTGCACTGGAATAACCACCATGCGCAGTCCCACCGTATCTGGTGTAAATGAACCCTAAGAGCTTGTTCACACCAGGTGCATTGAACTTCACTAATCTGCATTGATCACTGCATGCTCATGACAAGGGCACATAGAATACAACTATTATATATGTGCCATGTTCACATGTGTGTGTCAGTGTGCATAGTATAAAAAATCAGCATTGCTGCTTTTTTATACAGCAAATGTCATCTCATGTCTATGCACTACAGTGTATGAAGTTACCTGGTTTAATGGTTTTTTGCTAATTTTGTAAAAAACTGTGTTATGTTGTAACAACATCACACTGCTTCTTCACAATGCACTCTGGGTAATGTGTTATACAATGCAGGCATTTATTATATGTACCATACGGTGTGTCTGTCTGGGGTGAATGCGCCTAAAGGTTACTGTAGTAATAATGTTTTACAAAGAAGGAATAAACTAACATTCTCGTGTGTATACCAAAATCATCTCCCTTTTAATTTGCTCTTCCCAAATGAATATGGCTAATAAACATAAACAGACAATAAAGCTGTCTATGTAATGTATGGCTTATTAAATATAGATTAAGGATTATCCCAGATATGAGTATGTTCTGCCTTTTGCTGACTTGACGCTTCCAGGTTATTTTCTTATGGTGCCTCTGCTTTATCAGTGTTCACATATAACACTCCGTCTGCTTCTTTCTTTTTTTTATGTTCCTGTTCTGCTGCTTTGCTTATCTCTACATGGATGTTTTGCTCTATCTTGCACAGCTAAGCTGCTTTTCTTTACTCCATACTCAGCTGATTTATTTTTCTCTGTACTTTTATACTTTTTTTCTTTCCTTTTCCAGACAACTTTAAACTGCTTTACTTCTTTCCAGCATCGTTCCCCCAAGCCACATTTTTTCTTCTTGCATGCCATAGGTGCAATAGAGATGAGAGCAGTTGGTATCAGAAAACTTCTAAGAGAACCTGATGCATGGACACACTGAGCTCTCTGTAGTGATACCTATATTTAGCATTGTGTCAGTCTGCTTCATATTGGTACTAAATGCTCACTGATAAATGCAAGTATGTATTTGGCAATGTTCAAAGTTGAGTATGGACTGGCCAGAAAGGAATCACTTTAAGGGAGTTGGCCAGCTTGTATATATACTGCAATATAAACACACTGGCCACTTTTTTAGGGACACATTGCTAGTACTGGGTTGGATCCACTTTTGCCTTCAGAACTGCCTTAATTCTTCATGGCATAGATTCAACAAGGTGTCAGCAAGGTGTTGGAAACATTCCTCAGAGATTTTGGTCCATATTAACACGATAGCATCATGCATATTTGTCGGCTGCACATCCATGATGCAAATCTTCCGTTCCACCACATCCCAAAGGTGCTCTACTGGGTTGAGATCTGGTGTGACTGTGGAGGCCAGTGGAATACAGTGAACTCATTGTCATGTTCAAGAAACCAGTTTGAGATGATTTGAGCTTTGTGACATAGTGCATTATCCTGCTGGAAGTAGCCAACAGAAGATAGGTACCCTGGCACTCGGTGTGGTCTTCTGATGCTGTAGCCCATCTGCTTCAAGGTTCGACCTGTTGTGCGTTTAGAGATGGTATTCTGCATGGTTGTATCAAGTGGTCATTTGAGTTCCTGTTGTCTTTCTATCATCTTGAACCAGTCTGCCCATTCTCCTCTGACCTCTGACATCAGCAAGGCATTTTCAACCAAACAACTGCAGCTCACTGGATATTTTCTCTATTTCGGACCTTTTTCTATAAACCCTAGAGATGGTTGTGCATGAAACTCCCAGTGGATCAGCAGTTTTTGAAATACTAATACCAGTCCATTTGGCACCAACAACCATGCTATGTTCAAAGTCACTTAAATCCCCTTTCTTCCCCATTATGAAACTCGTATTCAAAAATTCGATTCGACCGATTCGGCGAATTCGTGGAAAAATTTTGATTCGAGTCGAATATATTCGCTGCGAATTTAACTTAAAAAAGGGTGTTTCTAGGCTTCAGAGAGACTTAATATTAGTGCAGAACACTGTACCTTTAATTTAAATGCCCTTGGAGTCTGCTGGGGAAGAGAAATAATACTGTCAGTCAGTATGACATGCAGATGAGTGCCGTCGATCTTAGAATCACCGCACACTTCACTCATTTGGGCAGTCACGGGGCCAAAACCAGAGTGTGGAGCCACAGTGTGGCGGTGGAGGCAGCAGCAATGGGAGGCCATACAGCACCCTATGACAAAAATGGAAACCACCAGCAGTGTGAGGAGACCTGAAAGTGGCACATGGCAGAGTGTGGCGATAGAGACAGCAGCAATGGGAGGCCGTACAGGGACCCATGACACACTCTGGACCTGGCAGCAGCATGAGGAGGCGGTACAGGGGCCCATGACAGATTACGGGCCTGGCAGCAGCATGAGGAGTCGGTACGGGGGCCCATGGCAGATTACGGGCCTGGCAGCAGCAATGGGAGGCCGTACAGGGACCCATGACACACTCTGGACCTGGCAGCAGCATGGGGAGGCGGTACAGGGGCCCATGACAGATTACGGGCCTGGCAGCAGCATGAGGAGTCGGTACGGGGGCCCATGACACACTCTGGACCTGGCAGCAGCATGAGGAGGCGGTACAGGGGCGCATGACAGATTACGAGCCTGGCAGCAGCAACTTGGACAGGAGGACGTTCAGCTTCTGCACCGTCGGGTGCGTGCTCGCAAACTGTTGTCTCTTGGAAACGGATTCCAAGAAAGACTGCTGACGGAATCCGTGAAGAGGAGTAGCAGGAGAAGGAGCATCTGAACGAGCGGAATATGCCAACAAGCGACAACAGGGGCCCATGACAGATTACGGGCCTGGCAGCAGCATGAGGAGTCGGTACGGGGGCCCATGGCAGATTAGGGGCTGGCAGCAGCTATGGGAGGCCCGTAATCTGCCAGCACCCTATGACAAAAAATGGAACCCACCAGCAGTGTGAGGAGACCTGAAAGTGGCACATGGCAGAGTGTGGCGATGGAGACAGCAGCAATGGGAGGCCGTACAGGGACCCATGAGAGACTCTGGACCTGGCAGCAGCATGAGGAGGCGGGTATAGGGGCCCATGGCAGATTAGGGGCCTGGCAGCAGCTATGGGAGGCCCGTAATCTGCCAGCACCCTATGACAAAAAATGGAACACACCAGCAGTGTGAGGAGACCTGAAAGTGGCACATGGCAGAGTGTGGCGATGGAGACAGCAGCAATGGGAGGGCCGTACAGGGACCCATGAGAGACTCTGGACTTGGCAGCAGCATGAGGAGGCGGTATAGGGGCCCATGGCAGATTAGGGGCCTGGCAGCAGCTATGGGAGGCCCGTAATCTGCCAGCACCCTATGACAAAAAATGGAACACACCAGCAGTGTGAGGAGACCTGAAAGTGGCACATGTTTGGGGCATGATTCATGGCGGATTTAGTCAGTTGTGTCAGGAACTGGTGGTTTGAAATCCAGACTAATCCACGCCTGATTCATTTTCACAAACGTCAGTCTCTCCACACTTTGGGTGGACAGTCGTGTCCTCCGCGGAGTTGCAATACCTCCTGCCGCACTAAACACACGCGCTCCGATGCCACGCTACTGGCCGGGCATGACAGCCTTTCAAGGGCAAATTCAGCTAGTTGGGGCCAAAGGTCAAGTTTCGTTGCCCAGTAGTCAAGGGGATTGTCTACCTCGGTTGGCAGGGTGCTGTCCAAGTAGGCCTAAGCCTGTTGTTTGAGGTCCTGCTCCAGGTCCACCTGATGCTGCTGCTGCTGCTGCTGCTGCTGCTGGGCTGGTTAGTAGTTTCCTCACTGCGCTGGTGAAGAAAGCTACTCATCATCGACTGCAGACTGAGGCAGCTGCTGCTGGTGGAGCTGCCACTGCTCCTACCACCCCACCCCCTCCCCTGCTGCCATGGCAGCGGAACGCGAGCGCACAGGGCCCACAGTGTCTGAGGATGGACGTTGGCGCAGACAGGCAGAGACCAGCTGACTACATAGGTGGTTTTTATAGTACGTTATTTTGGCCTCCCTCTCAGCAGGTGTGAAAAAGGCCACCATTTTTGAACGGTAGCGAGGGTCCAACAAGGTGGACAGCCAAAAGTCATCCCTCTGTCTGATGGTTATTATTCGGCTGTCGGTACGCAAGCAAGCGAGCATGCTATGGGCCATTTGTGCCAAGGAATGCGAGGGACTCCCTGCCTCCATCTCCACAGCATACTGCCACGGTGCGTCTGGGTCCTCTGTCTCCTCTTCCTCCTCCTCTACCAGATGCTCCTGCTCCTCCACTCCTGTCCGCTGAGTGGAAAAACCACCCATTTCACTCAATAATTCCTGAGCACCAATGTCCTCCTCTACCTCCTCCTCTTCTTCCTGTCCTGCCCCCACAGGGGTCATGTGGCGTTGAGATCTGTGCGCCACGTCTACCGCACCCTGACCAGCCATTGTTAACAGCATTTGTTCCAGGACGTGCAACAGAGGAATGACGTCGTTCATCCCATAGTCCTGCCGACTCACGAATAGCGTGGCCTCCTCAAAGGGCCTGAGCAAGCGCAGGTGTCACGCATGAGCTGCCAATGCTGACATCTAAGTTACACAGGGAGTACCTTTATCCGCTCCGCTTTTAACATCAGGAAATCTGTGATGGCCTTTTGCTGTTCGTAAAGGCGGTCTAACATATGTAGGGTGAATTCCACCTTGTTGCAACGTCACAGCATGAGGAGTCGGTACGGGGGCCCATGGCAGATTACGGGCCTGGCAGCAGCAATGGGAGGCACGTAATCTGCCAGCACCCTATGTCAAAAAATTCAACACACCAGCAGTGTGTGAGGAGACCTGAAAGTGGCACATGGCAGAGTGTGGCGATGGAGACAGCAGCAATGGGAGGCCGTACAGGGACCCATGAGAGACTCTGGACTTGGCAGCAGCATGAGGAGGCGGTATATAGGGGCCTATGGCAGATTAGGGGCCTGGCAGCAGCTATAGGAGGCCCGTAATCTGCCAGCACCCTATGTCAAAAAATTCAACACACCAGCAGTGTGAGGAGACCTGAAAGTGGCACATGGCAGAGTGTGGCGATGGAGAGACGCAGCAATGGGAGGCCGTACAGGGACCCATGACAGACTCTGGACTTGGCAGCAGCATGAGGAGGCGGTATATAGGGGCCTATGGCAGATTAGGGGCCTGGCAGCAGCTATAGGAGGCCCGTAATCTGCCAGCACCCTATGTCAAAAAATTCAACACACCAGCAGCAGTGTGAGGAGACCTGAAAGTGGCACATGGCAGAGTGTGGCGATGGAGACAGCAGCAATGGGAGGCCGTTTACAGGGACCCATGACAGGACTCTGGACCTGGCAGCAGCATGAGAGGCGGTAATAGGGGCCCATGGCAGATTAGGGGCCTGGCAGCAGCTATGGGAGGCCCGTAATCTGCCAGCACCCTATGTCAAAAAACCTTCAACAACACCAGCAGTGTGTGAGGACGCTGAAAGTGGCACATGGCAGAGTGTGGCATGGAAACAGCAATGGGGCCAACAGGGACCCAAGTTCTCATTGCCCAGTAGTCAAGGGGATTGTCTACCTCGGTTGCAGCTATGGGCTGTCCAAGTAGGCCCAAGGCAGATTAGGGGCCTGGCAGCAGCTATGGAGGCCCGTAATCTGCCAGCAGGTCAAAAAATTCAACACACCAGAGTGTGTGAGGAGACCTGAAAGTGGCACATGGCAGAGTGTGGCGATGGAGACAGCAGCAATGGGAGGCCGTACAGGGACCCATGGAGACTCTGGACCTGGCAGCAGCATAGGAGGCGGTATAGGGGCCCATGGCAGATTAGGGGCAGGCAGCAGCTATGGAGAGGCCCGTAATCTGCCAGCACCCAAAAAATTCTGCACACCAGCAGTGTGTGAGGAGACCTGAAAGTGGCACATGGCAGAGTGTGGCGATGAGACAGCACAATGGGAGGCCGTACAGGGACCCATGAGACCAACTGACTACAGCAGCAGGAGGCGGTTATAGGGGCCCATGGCAGATTAGGGGCCTGGCAGCAGCTATGGGAGGCCCGTGAATCTGGCAGCACCCTATGTCAAAAACGGTACGACCAGCAAGGTGTGAGGAGACCTGAAAGTGGCACCCTGGCATGGTTATTATTGGCGATGGCTACGCAAGCAAGGGACCGAGCATGCTATGGGCCATTTGTGCCACAGGAATGCGACTCCCTGGACTCCATCTCCACAGCATACTGCCACGGTGCGTCTGGGGCGGTATAGGGGCCTCTGGCAGATCTCCTGGCAGCAGCTATCCTCTACCAGATGCCCGTAATCTGCCAGCACCCTATGTCAAAAAATTCAACACACCAGCAGTGTGAGGAGACCTGAAAGTGGCACATGGCAGAGTGTGGCGATGGAGACAGCAGCAATGGGAGGCCGTACAGGGACCCATGACAGACTCTGGACTGGCAGCAGCATGAGGAGGCGGTATATAGGGGCCCATGGCAGATTAGGGGCCTGGCAGCAGCTATAGGAGGCCCGTAATCTGCCAGCACCCTATGTCAAAAAATTCAACACACCAGCAGTGTGTAGGAGACCTGAAAGTGGCACATGGCAGAGTGTGGCGATGAGACAGCAGCAATGGGAGGCCGGTGTCACAGGGACCCATGAGAGACTCTGGACTGGCAGCAGCATGAGGAGGCGGTTTAGGGGCCTGGCAGATAACAGGAAATCGGTGGGCCTTTCGCTGCCATAAAGGCGGTCAAAATGTGTAGGGTTGAATTCCACCTTGTGCAATGCAGATCAGGCACCCTATGGCAAAAAATTCAACACATGCAGCAGTGTGTGAGGAGACCTGTTCTGGCACCTGCATGGCAAGAGTGTGGCGGTGGAGACAGCAGAAATGGGAGGCCGTACAGGGACCCATGACAGACTCTGGACTTGGCAGCAGCATGAGGAGGCGGTATATAGGGGCCCATGGCAGATTAGGGGCCTGGCAGCAGCTATGGGAGGCCCGTAATCTGCCAGCACCCTATGTCAAAAAATTCAACACACCAGCAGTGTGTGAGGAGACCTGAAAGTGGCACATGGCAGAGTGTGGCGATGGAGACAGCAGCAATGGGAGGCCGTACAGGGACATGAGAGACTCTGGACCTGGCAGCAGCAGCATGAGGAGGCGGTATAGGGGCCCATGGCAGATTAGGGGCCTGGCAGCAGCTATGGAGGCCCGTAATCTGCCAGCACCCTATGTCAAAAAATTCAACACACCAGCAGTGTGTGAGGAGACCTGAAAGTGGCACATGGCAGAGTGTGGCGATGGAGACAGCAAATGGGAGGCCGTACAGGGACCCATGACAGACTCTGGACCTGGCAGCAGCATGAGGAGGCGGTATATAGGGGCCCATGGCAGATTAGGGGCCTGGCAGCAGCTATGGGAGGCCCGTAATCTGCCAGCACCCTATGTCAAAAAATTCAACACACCAGCAGTGTGTGAGGAGACCTGAAAGTGGCACATGGCAGAGTGTGGCGATGGAGACAGCAGCAATGGGAGGCCGTACAGGGACCCATGACAGACTCTGGACCTGGCAGCAGCATGAGGAGGCGGTATATAGGGGCCTATGGCAGATTAGGGGCCTGGCAGCAGCTATAGGAGGCCCGTAATCTGCCAGCACCCTATGTCAAAAAATTGAACACACCAGCAGCAGTGTGAGGAGACCTGAAAGTGGCACATGGCAGAGTGTGGCGATGGAGACAGCAGCAATGGGAGGCCGTACAGGGACCCATGACAGACTCTGGACTTGGCAGCAGCATGAGGAGGCGGTATATAGGGGCCTATGGCAGATTAGGGGCCTGGCAGCAGCTATGGGAGGCCCGTAATCTGCCAGCACCCTATGTCAAAAAATGAACACACCAGCAGTGTGTGAGGAGACCTGAAAGTGGCACATGGCAGAGTGTGGCGATGGAGACAGCAGCAATGGGAGGCCGTACAGGGACCCATGACAGACTCTGGACTGGCAGCAGCATGAGGAGGCGGTATATAGGGGCCCATGGCAGATTAGGGGCCTGGCAGCAGCTATAGGAGGCCCGTAATCTGCCAGCACCCTATGTCAAAAAATGGAACACACCAGCAGTGTGAGGAGACCTGAAAGTGGCACATGGCAGAGTGTGGCGATGGAGACAGCAGCAATGGGAGGCCGTACAGGGACCCATGACAGACTCTGGAACTTGGCAGCAGCATGAGGAGGCGGTATATAGGGGCCTATGGCAGATTAGGGGCCTGGCAGCAGCTATGGGAGGCCCGTAATCTGCCAGCACCCTATGTCAAAAAATTCATGAACACACCAGCAGTGTGTGAGGAGACCTGAAAGTGGCACATGGCAGAGTGTGGCGATGGAGACAGCAGCAATGGGAGGCCGTACAGGGACCCATGACAGACTCTGGACCTGGCAGCAGCATGAGGAGGCGGTATATAGGGGCCTATGGCAGATTAGGGGCCTGGCAGCAGCTATGGGAGGCCCGTAATCTGCCAGCACCCTATGTCAAAAAATTGAACACACCAGCAGTGTGTGAGGAGACCTGAAAGTGGCACATGGCAGAGTGTGGCGATGGAGACAGCAGCAATGGGAGGCCGTACAGGGACCCATGAGAGACTCTGGACTTGGCAGCAGCATGAGGAGGCGGTATAGGGGCCCATGGCAGATTAGGGGCCTGGCAGCAGCTATGGGAGGCCCGTAATCTGCCAGCACCCTATGTCAAAAAATTCAACACACCAGCAGTGTGTGTGAGGAGACCTGAAAGTGGCACATGGCAGAGTGTGGCGATGGAGACAACCCACCGACTGTTTTGCTCGCTGCCAAGCTGCCACCCTCTTCTCCTGATGATGCGGAAGCAATAGCCTGATGACGACGAGGCTGCCAAGTGCGATCAGCCTCATCATCATCAATTAGGGTCTCCGCCTCACTACTAGCCCCCTCGGCTGCGTGTGGGTCAGGAGACAGACCTGGTCTCTACACCGGCTACCGAGCCACTCTCCTCGCCACTGCTTCTTCGCCTGGCTGCTGAAGAGGCGGATGTCTCCCCCCGTTCCTGACCGCCCTCTGTTAGCTCTTCCTCACTGTACTGGATGACACCGGGAGCACTAGCCTCTGGCTGCGAATAGTGCTGCCTCGACCCCTTCCTCTGCTGCCACGTCTGCTCGCTCCTAAAACATTGCCTCCTCTGCCACTCCTCTGCATGTTGTCTGACATACTCTTTAATTAAACAATTCTGTGTCCCTGAGTAACAATTCTGTGTCCCTGAGTAACGTTTCTGTGGCCCTAAGTAACAGTTCTGTGGCCCTAAGTAACAGTTCTGTGGCCCTCAGTAACAATTCTGTGTCTGTCCCTGAGAAACAATTCTGTGTCCCTCAGTAACAATTCTGTGTCCCTCAGTAACAATTCTGTGTCCCTCAGTAACAATTCTGTGTCCCTGAGTAACAATTCTGTCTGTCCCTGAGTAACAATTCTGTGTCTGTCCCTGAGTAACGTTTCTGTGGCCCTAAGTAAAGGTTCTGTGGCCCTCAGTAACAATTCTGTGTCCCTGAGTAACAATTCTGTGTCTGTCCCTGAGTAACAATTCTGTGGCCCTAAGTAATGGTTCTGTGGCCCTCAGTAACAATTCTGTGTCCCTAAGTAACAATTCTGTGTCCCTCAGTAACAATTCTGTGTCCCTCAGTAACAATTCTGTGTCCCTCAGTAACAATTCTGTGTCTGTCCCTGAGTAACAATTCTGTGTCTGTCCCTGAGTAACGTTTCTGTGGCCCTAAGTAACGGTTCTGTGGCCCTCAGTAACAATTCTGTGTCCCTCAGTAACAATTCTGTGTCTGTCCCTGAGTAACAATTCTGTGTCTGTCCCTGAGTAACAATTCTGTGTCCCTGAGTAACGTTTCTGTGGCCCTAAGTAACAATTCTGT